AGGTAGAAAGTTAAATGTATGTAGATACAATGTAATGAGCAAAGGTTTTCACTTCAGATGATAATGAATGGTGGAATTGTTTGAACTGGTTAACACCAGGCTTGGAGCAGCTAGGCCCGTGGTCCTTGTAGCCCCGTGCTCAGCATCCAGCCTGTTTATAAGCAGGAATGGTTCCTGTTGTATTTTTGAGTGTGCTTAGTTGTCAGCCTTGCAGTTTTTACCATTTTATGAGGGTGCCAGGGTGCGTGAAAATGTAACTCAATGAAAAAGTTATTTGCTAATGTGAATAAAAGAAAACCAGAGTTCATTCTTTGCAAATTGACATCACAGATTTTAATGGTTTATCATTATTCATAGGCTGTTTTTATTTAAGTGACTGCATTGTACTCAGTGTGGCAAAATACAGGCTTTGCAAAGATAAGTTTAGCAGAAGAGAATTAATTTCTTCCCACATCTTTTAATGTGGCATGGCAGTCTCACTCGAAGATCAAAACACACAACTGAAGGTTGTCTTTAATTTCTAAATCAAAGTGTTGTGGGAAGATGATTGAAATCTGGTGATGAGTCAGAGCCACTTGATATGTGGTTTTCTTCCTACAGAAACCGTAGACTGCCATTGGCATGTTAGAAAGAATCTCACCGGGAAGAGATAAAAATAACCAGCTCCACTATAGACGTAAAGTGTATGTTGGTGATTTGGTTCCTCGGCTGAATTCTTCCCAGAAAGTGTGAGAGCCCCAGTAACACAGGAATCCCCCCCTACACAGATCTCCAGCATATCTTTGCTTTTGGATGTGGAAGCAAAAGAAATCGATATTATTTTACCAACAAACATTGATTTTTTTTTCCAGTTTTTGTGATCCTCTTTTTAAAAAAAATATCAGAAGTTATAATTTGGCCATTTTGGCTTTTTCCATGTATCAAATTCTTCATTTGCCTCAAAGGGCAATTTCAGAAGGTATGCAGCCTGTGACGCCCGCATCCCATATGGGCACCGGTTCGAGTCCCAGCTGCTCCACTGGCAATCCAGCTCCCTGCTAGTGTGCCTGGGAAAGCAGCAGAAGACGGCCAAGTGCTTGGGCCCCTGCCACCTATGTGGGAGACCCAGATGAAGCTCCTGACTTTGGCCTGGCCCAGCCCTGGCCATTGCAGCCATTTGGGGAATGAAGCAGCAGATGGAAGATTCTCTTTCCCTCTTCTGTCTGCTACTCTTTCTTTCAAATAAATAAAATAAATCTTAAAAAAAAAAAAGAAGAGGAAGAAGCTATAGTAGCATTGATTGTGGAAGGTGATTTTTTTTTTAAACAGGATAACTGAGATGTATCTGCCACTTCGCCACAGTAAAAATCTGGCTTCTTCTGGTTTCTGACAGCGATACTATGCAGACACTACCCTGGAGCCAGTCCTAGAAGGGGCTTCTCGCAGGTGTTGTAGGGCCAGCACTTTCAGAACACTTCCCAGGTCTCAGGCTGCCTCCTTGTCCCTTCTCTGAACCGCTCCATGGGCCCTGGGCGCGGGCTGTGCGGCCGGCAGCCCTCACACGGTCCCGCTCGAGAAGGAAGTGGAGAGTTTTGGTTCCCATTTTACGCTTCTGGAACAGTTTAGGGAAGGAAGCACCTTGACACCTTTTATTGTTCGTGGTTGCTGACATCACATCCTTCCCTGGCCAGTCTGTGCGTGTTTCCTGCCATTCTGTCAGGATTCTTCTGGCTTACTGGGAGGGAGCTGAGAGAGGAAGGGAGGGAGGGGAGAGGGGCCGGGGGTGGGGGTGGGTGTCACCCAAGGGCACGGTTTGGAAAGCCGAGCGCGGTGGGAGAATGAGCCCCACATGTGCCACGAGGAACGCCTCTCCTCTCCGTGGGCCCCAGACCGCTCTGCCTCCGTCGGCCTGCCTGTGCCAAGTGCACAGTGAACCCAAATCAGCCATGATGAAGTTCCCCTTTTTAGTAAGCAGCCTGATTTCATTTTTCTTTTATTGAGGTCGGCAAAAAGAAAACAAAAATGCAGAAGACTGTAACTCTGTAGAGGGTAACCAGAGTAGAGCATTTCTTCTTTTAATTACTGATTGTTTATATGTAACTCTGTCATTTTCTAAGAATGTTGCTTTCATGTGGAAGAAAGTCGCGGCCGGCTGCTGGAATTATTTTAAGTTGATGGCTGATTGTACATAATGAAAAGTTCTCAGCATAACTGGAAGCTACTACACTTGGTGTCGCTCCTAGATTCTTTTTTGCCATAGGCATGCACCACCACCGTACAGATTAATCAAGTTACATAATCTTGCATGCTGCCTCTCAGCAATTAGTGCTTGAAACTGGCCTTGTGATGCGCTGTTTGCATAAACCTCAGGTTAGAGAAATAGGCGTACCCAGAAAACGACTTGAGAGCTGCTGCCGACCGGCTGGCCCTTGGCATTGGCCCTGACAGCCTCACCATGCGGCCGCCGTCCTCAGAGGTCCCCTCAGAGGTCCCGAGCCGCGTGCTGCTTCACATGTTCACTTCCCCAGCACTTCCGGCCATCCTCGCCAGCGTGACTCCACGTGCAAACTTTACGCCAAATGCTTCATTTTATAAATGCTCAGAGAGCAGCAGCACTTCAAGCAGTACCCATTTATACAGAATTTTTTTTTTAATTAGGTAGATTCTGTTGAAAGCAAAGCATGCTTTCTCAACAATACCTAGCATGTTTCAAAAAGAAAACTACCTTTGATGGCATTTTCTACATACGTATGTGTGCACGCACGTTCAGGCATACATTCTTCCTGGCAAAATATTCCCCGTAATATTTTAAGGATTAAAAAAAAAAGTTCCTGCTCTGCTCTTCAAAAAAAAAAAAAAAATGTGTCTTGTTTCTAAGTTGTGAACTGTGGGGTGGTGACAGGAGATTGTCTCTACACTCCGTTCATCAGAAGCTCTGGGGATGTTTCTCTGCCTGTCTGATTCTTTGGATTTTGAAACCGGGGTCTGGAGATGGCCCTTGCCCTCTGCCTGGTCACCACGCTCTAATCTGTCCACACTGACCTTCCACCTTGAAGTGCATAAGCGCTTAGGCAGGCATAGTCCTGTAAGCCGATAGTTCACCGTCCTGGCTGTGTGCAAGGAAAGGAAATTGTCCCAAATGCTTTTGCTGTGCGTTCATGGGCTGGCTTTTCTGTGACAGTGAAAGCCTGTTTGTCTCTTTGGGTCCTTGCACATGCATGGGAAATGCCATTCTAAGGCTGCTTGCGGCTAAGGTAAGACCTTAGGAAATGCGGGGAAGTCGGTCAGCCGAGTGATATTTCTAAATATAGTAGATGGATGGACAGAGTTTGGCAACACCGAGTATGTGATGCAATTGTGCTTTGTGGGTTTTTCACGTTCTATTGTGATCTTAATAGCTCGTTTGTTCGTGTGTATTGGTCAAATATGTGTTATTTACATAACTTTTAAAAACTTGTTGAACTTCTTCCAGCATTTGAAAGTACAGCCGAGATAATGGTTTTGATGGGCACCATGTGGTCGTGATGTCACTCGGTGTGTGTGTCGCGAGAGGCAGACCTTAGCTGTGCTTTCCCATAAAGGCACTGGCAAAAGAGAACGAGAACGGAGAGGCTGAGTCTCTGTGTAGTGCTTAATCCACCAGAACTAATTATATCATAATAGCTTGTGCAATTAGATAATCACAGAAAACTTTAAAAAAGATTTACTCAAGGTGATAAGAATTTAGAAATGAAGTTAAAGAAATCAAAAGACAGCCGATGATCGGACCGAGCATATACCAGCTTTCCTGTTCCAAGAACTTTGAATCAGAGCCAAACAATCTATTAAGTAGCCAGGACGTTGGCTTGGTGTTACATAATACACGTGGGAATTTATCAGGGCCGTTGTCTGACACACCAACCAAAATAAACAGGGAAATTCTGAGCAGTGTGTAAAGGAGTTTGCTTTCATTGACAAAAGATAGGCTAAGAGTTGAAGCTGTTGCTTGCAGTCGAAGGAATGCTTGCTTGTGAACTTGAACATTGCACCACAACTCATCTTCATTGTGTCCCTGTATCTTCAGCGATAGTTTAAAAACAAAGTGAAACATACACTTCTAATATTCTGTGCTCCTTCCATTTATCATCTGTCATTCATGGTCTTTCATGTTAATTCAGGATACAGGGATTTCCATTTATAGCCAGAGCTTCTGTAATGGTGTATCTACTCCCATAAAAGATATCCTCTTTAAGTATTTCAATTGAGAGGGCTGATGGCTTTTTACTTTAAAAGATATAGTTGTAAACGGAATCATCGTCTTCATTTTTGTATCATCTCTGTTCTGTCAATGGTCATCTTTTCTGATTCTTATATTCAACATATAGTGTAAGGCATTCCACAGAAAAAGATCCCACTGCAGATAGATGCTTGTAACGTCAGCTGAAATATCCCATAGTGGATCTACAGTGCTCTCATAGCAGGGATTAAAAAAAAAGATTAAAGCATTTAGATTTAAATGAATTGACATTTACATATATCAAATAGCACTTTCCTAATGGTCCATCCTATTTGCATAACGAGGGACGTTATCACCTCTACTGTCAAAACAGGAGATTGTTTTCCCTTCAGAAATGAATTAGCTGCCCTACTTAGCATACACAGGTACAGAAAGGTTCATTAACTCTCTGATTTAGGTGATTTTTCATAACAGAAGGGTGAAAATTGTCACCTAATTTCGTTAAAAATATTAAGAAACTCTTTACAAAAAATACATTTCGAGTGCTGGGACTTAAAGCACAGTTTTCATTCTTTCAATGACTTGTTAAATTACTTATGAGATGATTTCAATTATAAAAACAAGCCATGCCTACTGGATACGCTCCTGCATGTGATACACCGTGCACTTTTAATGAATAGGGATCGTCATTCATTTGGTTGCTCTACTTCCATGTAGTTTATTTCCTTGATGAACCTGGCCTGTGAGAGTTCTTGTGAAACTGGCTTGCAGTTGGAGTGGTGTGAAATTTTCCTTTTTTGTTCAGCAGGAACGAATGCAGGAACTTGGGAACTGAGCGGTGCAAGTGCTAAAGAAGGCCATTTGTTGGAAGGAAACAGGAAAGAGAAAGAAAAGGAAGGAAAAAATACATAATTTCAGGGACGAGAGAGAGAAGAAAAACGGGGACTATGGGGAGAAAAAAGATTCAGATTACGAGGATTATGGATGAACGTAACAGACAGGTGAGTGGAGTAAAATTCTCTTAGTATCGTTATTTGCATAGAGTCTTGATTGTGTGTTCCCCAGCTACGAGAAGGGTACTGAAAACACTTGAACTTGCGAACATCTATTAAAATAAGCTTTGGTGAATGACATGTGGCCAGTTGACATACTGATAGTCTCTTAAGTGTAATGGAAGAAAAATCACTGTATCTGTTAAAGATACAGTTTACACATTCGTGATGATTGCAACAATCACTTTGGACTTCAACTTGAATTTTAAATGAGAGCTGAACTTGTGTGACACAAATAGCTTAATAGTTAAGAGTTAATAAGCATAACATTGCTACATTGCATGCATCATCAAACAAAGATATTCTTATATTCCTGAAAACTAGGTCTTTCGTGGTCCCCGTTGCAATTTTTATGATATAGGCCAAATATCCTGTATAAAAATGGATTTCACTCTGTTCATGGTAAAAGACACTTTGAAAGACATCCAAAACATTTTAACGCTGTGCTGACAACAACAACAAAGAAAACACCCACGAAAGATACTAGTGATTTAAAGCATAAGCCCATGAGCTGTCCATTAATTCATACCTTTTCCCTTAAATCCTGAATTTTATAAACAGAGAGAGTAAATTCTACAATTCTGGGTGACAATTAAAAATAATAGTGTAAAAAAATTCTAGAAACAGAGAGGCAGATGGTGGTATAATTTTTTTCTAGAACTCCAGTGATAATGTCTGCATGATAACAATTAATCTGTTCTGAAGACTTTACACATCCGAATGCCCAGTTCAGCACCAGAGACTTGTATATCCTGAATGCATGCATTCTGAGTCTGTTTTTCTTTGCAATTGGGGAGGGTGGATTTAGTTAGGCTGTGGAAGGATAGCTGGTGGTTTGTGCATGTCCTAATGTTAAATGTCAAATCATGGTCCTTGCGAGAAATTTTAGTGCTGCGGGATCCCAGCCTGGTGTGTGAGCGACAGAACCTGCAGAATGGGCATTCCTTGGCCATAGGAAGAAAGTGTTTTGCCTGTTGCCTGTTGCCCGTCTACACTGGGGACAGCTCAAAGGTCAGCCTTGGAATGCCCACCAGACTGTAGCTCCCCCCCAAAAAGACTCTCATCTTCCCTGTTGTCCTTTTTTATCTTCTTGGACCTAAAGTAGGACTAGAACTGATTTATTTTTTATAAATCAGTATTGTTACATGTGCCAGTTACAGTGAGTGCTATCAAAGCCAGTATGCCATTAGGAAGTAGAGAATCCTTTCAGTTTTTCAAATTCATACTCCTTTAAGTTACTACGTATTGTAAGGTACATATGGGCTGTTTTTGGCTGAGTACTGCACTAAAGGATGAATAAGGCTAAGGTTTATGATGGATTCTTTCAGTGTTTTTGTACATATTATTTATTGTCATGGGTCAAGTCCAAGAGCACTTATTCTGTCAGTATTAAAACCACTGTTTTCGAAACTGGTTTATAGCTTGAAATTGAAATGAAGACTGAACTATTGAACATCATGTTCCATCGATGGTTTAGACCTTGCTATCTGGACTAGAACCTATTTTGGGTGCACTCACAAATTATCTGAATTAGCATTTATACTTTCTGAATAAGACCAAGTAGTTTTTAGGCTCAAGAGATCTGCTGTAACTTCCTTTCACTTACAAACATAGAAGGAAAATTTTGTAGGTTGAACTCATGAGCTTTCATTATGCTTTATAAAGGAATCTAAAACTCACACAGGGATACAAGAATTTTAACACCACACCTTTGAACTCATAAGCGAACCTCTATTCTTAATTTTAATATATTTGCATTCATAATTGCCATTACTTTCTTCTTTAAAAGTCATAATAACTTCAGGAGAAGAGAAATTATTTCAATTCAGCTTTGTTTGACTTCTTTCAGATGGATTCCTTGATTTTATTCTGCAGAGTTTAGGAGGTTTCTGTTCTTTTCTCCAGTGTTTAGGTGCGATAGGCCCTGTAAGTCAGTACTTTTTAATGGACTTAGAATAATTGAAAACGACTGTGTTTTAGCCTGTATGTTTCAGCGTCTGTTGTACACATAAATGCGCACCTCTTACCTCCTCTGAGAGTGATCCTAAGAACCACTTGGGAGAGTCTATGAGCTGCTGGTCTCTTCTCATGATCCAAACCAACACAGCCTGCGAGGGCAGCGGCCCTAACCCAGGCCTTGTTTGGGCTGCGTGTGCCCCTGCAGAAAAGCAAATGTTGGCTGCTTCGCCCCTTTGGAAGTCGCCCTGACTGCAGATTGTCCAGCAAAACCTCACACAACGGCCCCCTGTCATCTTTTCTGAAAAGTAGTAAAAGTCAGCTGTGGCATTGCCTTTATTTGGCTTCACACAGAACAGAGTTTGTTTCTCCCAGAAAAAGGAAATACTGACTTAGAGTGTGAAATGAAATATGACAGAGCCCATGTGATCAATTGTGTATCATTAGGGAACAAAACTGTTAGGAAACAGAGTGGCTCACAGTCCAAATTGAATTTTGCCTTTTCTTCAGCTTTCATAATGGAAGTAAGGAATAGCTAAAATTCAGAAACCCCAACTATAACCAAATAATTTAGGGGACTAAAGTTAACACTGCTGTGTCTACAAGTTTCCCAGAGTTTTCAGCTTTGCAGAAACTACTTCTTTGTTAATTTTTAACCGAAACAAGATGGATATTTTAAGCTAGCATGTAAAAAATAAATAAAATTATGAACTCTAAATTTCTTTTATAGGAATTTTCCAGCAACTCAATAAAAGTACCTACACGTTACATGCCAAGGACTAACTATATATTATTCGGCTTAGTTCTTGCCAATCCCTTTTACAGCAGAATAATTAACTTCTTAAATCAGCAAATGTCACTGGGCTGCAGTGTGCCTACCACTGCATGCTCCGTGGTGACCAAGAATCCCATCCTGCTCCAGGGTCAGGAAGCTTCTCTCTAAAGAACCGGAGAGTAGACCTCTTCCCGAGCAGCAGAGGCTCTCTCTCACCTCCTAAGCTCTGTGGAGCCACAGGCAAGTCTAAATGAACCAGCATGGCATGTTCTAGGAAGGTTTTACTGACACAAACAGAGGGGACTAAATTTGACCTGTGGGCCCTGGTTGTGGACTTGTGGTGTGATCAAACAGACTTGAACTATGTAAACGTGTAACAAAAATGTCACTCACAGGAGCATTGCTATGAGTGAAATTATCAAAGCACCAAAAATAAAAAAATAAAAAAAAAATAACAGGAGTAGGGCATTTACCTTTGGAGCCAGAGAATTGCCAAAAGATGAGTCAGCATTTTGCAGCTGATACCTTTTCCAAGGGCAGCATCTGAACAAAGCCCCTTGACAGAGGGAAGAACTGGGCTGGGGAGTCCAGGGAAGGCCGGGGACTAGAGCCTGGTGGTTGAGGGTAGCGAGATGGAGGAAAAATGGAACACTAGCGAGGGCCAGATGTTGTAGGGCACAGTAGGTTGTCCTTTACATCCTAAACAACAGTCCCATGGCCACATACTCGATCTTAGTGGCCGAGATCTGAGCCTACATCTCTCATTAAAACCAAACAAAACATGCTTTTCTCAATTGTGCCATGATGCATCCAGTGTAGCATCCTGGCGAAGAGCATGGTATTATCTCGTTGCTTTTCCCAGTCAGTTCATGCTGCACCTAGTATCATGAAGTGTCTCAGAGAGTAAGTTCTGAGAGGTACATGAACCTGGCTGTGGTCCTGGTTCTGCCACTTAGTAATATGTGCACTCTAGTAAGCTACTCGCCCACTCTGAGCCTTATCACTTCCCTCATCGCTAGGGTGAGGATTCAAAATGCTAACTGGCTTGTTAGTTCATTGACGAAGTTGAGTGATCTGTGTTAAAGACCCTAGCACATAGGAAGTGCTCAAAAAATTTTCATATTAGCTACTCCTGTTGAGTTTCTTGCTCTTTGTGACTTTTTAGAAATTTTTTATTGATTTGAGAGAGTGTGTAATATGAGAGAGAGAGAGAGAGAGAGACCCCAAGCATATGCTTCATCTATGGGTTCACTCCCCAAATGCCTACAACAGCTTCGTCTGAGACAGACCAAAGCCAGGAGCCAAGAACTCCATCTGTATCTTCCAGGCGCAGAAACACAATTATCTGAACAATCATCCCTACCTCCCAGGGTCTGCATTTGCAGGAGTCAGGAGCCAGGGCTGGGACTTGAACGCAGGCATGCTGGTATGCATTCTGCCAGGCTAAATGCTTCCTGCAGTAACGTGATCTATGTCAGAACAGCTCCTGTCTCGTGTGGCACTCTAAAGAATGGTACCTGGACATTCATTTCAAAAGACCTCTACCTTAAAGGGTATCAGGAGGTTGTGGGGAGAGGAAGAGAGCGGAGGAACACTGCTGAGAAGGAGCCCTCAGAAGCCAACACCATGGTACAGGAGCTGGCTCTTGGGGACAGGGCGGCCTGGGGTCAGGCCAAGATGACATCACACAGGACAACTAGAGCAGAGTGTGTGACAAGGGTGGAGGGAAGGAGTTTTCTAAATTCTATGCTCGAAGGGCATATTTTCCGAGGTATGTTACTGACCAAATGGTTTTTAACTACTCAATCCCCATTTTTATCACTTCCAGCTTCCCACGCATGCTAACGCTGCCATTTCAATCCCTGCATCTGGTGTCTTCCTTTTACCCTCTAAGTTCCTTCATCAACTAGACAATTACAGTCTTACACCTGGTATGGATTTTTTGAATCATGCTTCTGTAGCAGATTTTAAATGTGTGTTGTCCATGTGAGCCCTTCTTTTTAAAATATATTTAGAAATATATCTATTACAGTAAGAAGAAAGGTAAAATAAAATTCAGGTATGCTCAGGCTAAACCTGTTTACTCATGTTTGTGTTTAAGATTTTCAGCTTTCCTACTTTGAAAGGATAAGAGAAATAAACCCAAGTTTATTTGTGCAACTTTTTATTTCAAAGACATTTTCATGTTTGAATAGCTAGCTATAAGTGGAAAATTATT